GATGCGCCGGGGTCAAAACAATACATTTTTCTTTGAGAAAACTAAATTTTCAACGGAGTAGAGAAAACAAAACTCCACAATCAATACTATTGCGATATTGATGCTATAGGGTTTGGAAAGTCTATAAATATGCTGGTCTTTGGTCTTGAGTGTGCAAGTCTGCAATTATTGATAACCGACGAGGGTTTTAAAGAGGAGTTGTGAATATGGGAATCTCCACTTTAATGTATCAAACTTGAATGTAACAATCAGTGATTCATACAGAATTCTGTTATTAAATAAAACGAAATTTATTACACTCCTGCTTATCACTATAAATAATTGATTGTTGTTAATACTAATCATTGTGTTATCAAGTACAAGGTGTATTAGAAAAACACACAAAAAAGAAAAATGCCAAATAAGATCAGATAACAGGAACATTAAAAAAATGTTTTCAAAAATTCTACCTGTCAAATTTTTTTGATACTTATCATTTTTTATATCTATTGTTCCCGATAATATTGTATGTGTATGTTTTTTCATAATTATTCAGTAAAGGTACAAAAACTTTGTCAATAAAAGCTACAAATAATGTTAAATACAGTTACAATTTGGGATATAGCTTCCATGTTTCCTCTCCTAATAGCCTGTAACAAAAAAACTTAAAGAATTATTTTTCCAACAGAAATAAACAGTCAAAGTGGAAAATTTTGACTCTCAACTTAGAAATTTTTACAGATTTTATAAAAAAAACACTTTTTTTTCATGTTCCTGGGATCTTATTTTATTTAGCATCTTTCTTTTTTTGCATATTACTGCATATTTTGTGTGCATTTTACGATTCGAAAAATCACTTTTAGTTCAGTAGCTGCTATATTTAATCGAAAATTTTTATTTTTTACAAGTATGTTGGCTTAACTGCATTATTTTTGATAGAATTGAACAGTGTCACAACTCAATAAATTTCATTTCCAGTTCAAAATTTAAAGTTTTTGACATCAATTCATGCAAATTTATCTCAAGTTGGCCCCACTGTAAAACTTTTGGACAGTAGTGAACTAGAACAACAATACCAACATACCAAAAATCACTCATTTACTATAGCAGCTACAAATTTTCATTTTTTGTGTATTTATTATTTTTGATGAAGTTGAACAGTATTACCAACTCATACAGGGTAAATAAAAAGTAAGCAATTTTTTTAATCATTGCCTTCAAGACATAAAAATCAATAAAAGTTAAAGTACTATAAAACTTCGTGTTTTGAGAATAAAATTGTGTTTTATTTTAGAGTTATGCGATTTTTGTTGTCAAAATGGCAACTAATACAAAAAAAGATTGATAAAAAAGCCTTTGTTTTAAAAAAAAAGTTTTATAAAGGGTTGCCATTTAAAAAAATTAAAAATTTTGCAGAAGTCAAAAACAAAACAGATTCGAAAAATTTTATTCTTAATACAACTTCACATTTTTATAGTACTTTATCATTCATCAATTAGTTTAAAAAAAATAGTTTGAGCAAAAAACGTTTGGTTTCATACTTCTTATTCACCCTGTATAATTTTTCCAGTTCAAGATTTAAAATTTATAGGATATTGACATCAATTCATGCAAATTTATCTCAAGTTGTGAAACTTTTACACAGTAATAGACCAGAACAGCAGTACCAACACACCAAAAATCACTCATTTAGATCAGCAATTCAGGATTTTTTTTTTGTTTTTTACACAAACAATGATAAAATAAGACTTTTATTAACAAAAAAAAAAAATTAGAAATGACGCAATTTCATTTAATACTACATTCGCTTCAGAAATTCAATGCTGTTATGTAAACTAATTAAACTTATTGAAACTCTCTTACGTAATTTTTGTGAAAAATGAATTTTAATGTTTCATGTGTCCTATAACTGTGTAATTAAGTTGGCAACATTTACTGTCAAGTACAAACGTCACATTTTTATAGTCAATTGTCATTCATTTCCGAGGAGCGGCCGCTGGTACGGCCGTCACATGACACATATCCCAATAATTCGGTGTTGCCAACCTAATTTCAAAGTCACAGCTCACTTTGAACTTATTTTGTTTGTTTACATCAATTTTTCACATTGCTATGACCACACTTTAACGTTAAATAGCGAGTTTTTGCTTTATTCACTAGTGAATAAAGTAAATCAAAAAATTCAGATACAACTCTCCAACTTCACTCCAACTACTAAGAAATCTCCATAATATCATTTGTCACAAAACGACGAACTAAACCACTAGACTTGACATTTCCATAATCTCGCTGTGATATTTCCTTTGTACTAAAATCAGGCTTCTGAAGAGAAATATTTCCTTAATGAACACTATATCCAAAATAAATCTAACACATAGATAAGACAAGAACGTAATTATTCACTTCAAATATTAAACTTTCTTTAGTTTTTCTCAACTTAATTATCATTTTGCTGCAGTGGCAGTCATGAATATTTAAATTCCGTTTTCATAAAGTTGCAACATTTCCGATTCGTTTCTTTTTGAAAAACAAATGGTAAAAACACGAAGAATTGATTTCTCAGCGTTGTCGTCAATCCGCTTAAATAATTCACTACCTAATTTCCAATCACCAAAATTGTAAAATGTTAAAGGTGCATATTTAATAGCGACATTTCCTCCAACGTGACCACTTCATGACGCCTTCGGGGCCGAAAGTATCGTTTTTCGTCCTGTTCGCATGTCACGTTTACCAAGCAATTGTCGCTAAAAATAGGCCCAATTGCGATCACTGTCAAGTGCAACCTTTGAGTGCCAGTCACCGGAGGATTTTGCGAAAATTCCTGACAAAATCTAGATGCAAATATAGCAAATTTCCGACTACTGTTGTTGTTTTATTTACTTGCAGCGAAACCTGGGGTAATAATAAAGGAATTGTGCACCCACGACCTCTCGATCCAACAACTGTTTGTTTTCGCAGGAATTGGCTTTAAGACTAAAAATAACACCAACCACCGGGGATGTTTTCACTCTTGCAATGCAGCTATTTTTGACATTTGTGGTACAAATGAAAATAAAAAGAATATTTTCCTACGAACCTAACAGAAAGAAAGTTTTTCCACCCGAATTTCAGAAACAAAAATGGCCAAATACCTCAACTGTCAAAATTACAAGAAATATATATACAGGGTGACTTAAAAAAACGGCAGGTGCTGTAGAATTTTTATTTACGGCCCGATTTAAAAAATTCAAAAAATTAATTAAATGGCTTTCAATATAGTATAAGCTGTCAATTCTAGAATTTTTCTAAACGTCTCAGTATATTTTGAGCAATATTCAACTTTCTAATTTTAAATTGGAACCCATATTTTTTTCTTCATAATTAGAAAGGTATTAATTTCCTTGGTACAAACATGTGCAATATGCTATACTTTTCGTAAAAATTATTGTTTAGAAATATTATCAAAGATAAAAATAGGAGTAAAAGTTAACAAAATCTAGTTGCATTGTGTCAAATAAAACAATGCCATTATTGAAATGTCAAAAAGCAGCAAATGAAAGAAAACACTGCCTATTTTCTTTAATTTTTAACAAGAAATGTCAATAATAATTACCAACAACAAATCAAAAAAACATCTAATTTAGTGTTATTAATTTATAGTTTTATTTCTTTATTTATATATTTTGTTTACTATTAATAATATTATTGTTAACGTCAATTTTTTTATTGACAAGATGCAACTAGACTTTTTAGCTTTTATTATTTTTTTCAACTTTGATAATTTTTTAAGCAATATTTTTTTAGAACAATTCTAAAATTGTCAGCTTATACTACACTTCTTTGGGATATAAACAAATATTCTACAGCGCCTGACGTTTTTTAAAAATCACCCAGTATTAATCTCCAAAGTAATAGGAAAACATGCTGCAAGATTTAAGATTTAATGAGATATCAAAAGAAATTGTTAGTTTTTAATTTTTTCTTGCAGGATCGGAGAAAAAAAATATATGTATTACACTAGAGCAAAATATCTTTTCCGCCCTAGGTGACTACTGCCAACTTCCACTTGTGGTAGGAAAAAATACACTTTCCTTCCTTGTAATACACATAACTATTATTCATAATCATGAAGTAATAATCAAATTACCTTGCATGTGAAAAGTTGGAAAGTAAGACATTTAACAATGGATATAAAATATATAGTTCAGGTTGGGAAATGGCCACTTCCCAATCTAAACTGTCATATGTCATGTTTTTCAAACTTTGATAAACTCTTTATTGGATTTCTGTTCTTTAAGGAGGATAATTGTGAATAAAATAGTGAAAGTTTCAAACACGTTTCAGAAAAAATTACAAAAAATCAAATTCTGATAATAAAAAACTTCAAGTGAGGAAAACACCGGATCTAAAGACGCGTTAACGAGAAAAGTTTTTAATAATACAGAACACGGAATGAAACTTTGTGAAAGACTGATTTATTTTTCATAATGAGAACTTAACATTTCCATTAATGCGACAAAAGAAACAGTTTTGCGTTCTTATTATTGATCAAGTTCAAGTTCTCGAAATTGTATATTTTTCTCACACACATCTGAGTAGACTGCGTTGAATCATGTGACAAGTGTCATTTATGACAGTTATTGCGCTATCATTTTTCATAGCCTACTGGGGACTCAAATTAGATTGTGTGTCTTCAAATTCGAATTATAAATTATAATCTACAGTGAGAAGACGTTTTTATCAAGTTTGGTGTTTTTACTTATAATTTTTTACCGTGCAAAAATAAATTACTCGGGAAAAACACATTCAAAAAAATGCGAATTGTAGTAGGAAACAAATCGGGTCAAATTCCTGTCTTAAACGCATTTAAGGGAAAATCGCGAAATGTAGGTCACGAGAAAGGATACAAAATACGCATTCTTGGAAAATCAATTGTGTTTATATCTCGCGTTTTAATTAAAATTGCGCTAAAACATGAATAATAAACGAGTAAAATCAGCGTCTTTGATGAAAAAATTACAAGTGTGGTAAAGCTCACTTACCGCCCAAGTAGCTGTGTTCGGAAATGACCAACATCGCGTCCCTGGACTCACTTAAACCTCATTTTAGTCATCTTGTGCACAAACCAGCACCAAAACCCTCCACTATTTACAAATCGAGACAAGTGTTGTATTTCAATTGAAATTTCATGAAACACTGAACAAAGTGCCGTCTCCTGCGGCCGCTCCTGCGCCCAAGCTTCAGCGCATTGTGTGTTGCCTACCTCACAGGTGTGCCCCATGTAAACAAACTCGCTGTTTATTTTTGTTGATTCCATCACCACATGAAGGTTGCGATGTCAAAATGGTTGTGGTGGACCAGTTTTACCAAATTGTCGAGGGGCAGACGTCCAAAGTGTCTTCATTTTGGAAGGGTAACCGCCCCAAAGCGCCCCACGTCCTAGTGCCAAATTGACGTTTCAGCTGCCCACATTCTGGCCTGCATCGGGTGTGCGGTGTGCGGCCTCCTCACTGCCTTCACCTTCGGGAGGGTCCTCGAGAACTTCGGGTACAACTGCGTGTTGAAGTCCCACCTTGTCTTCGACGCGGGCGCCGTCCCCAACGCCACCAACCGCACCAACGCCATTGACTTGACCATGACGACGTGGGGGCCCGCCAGCGAGTGCAACTTCGTCCAGTTCACGCCGCTGGTGCTCATGATCTCGGCCGTGGTGTGGGGCACCTACTTCAGCATTCTCACCAAAGGGGGGGCCGGCTTCGCCACGGACTTGTAAGTTGGCCAAACTGACGACGCGACGGTTGGCAACACTGTTTCAGGCTTTCGCGGCCCTGGAGTATCGTCTACCCCTGTCTGTTTTTCACCACGATTTTTTTTGTTGCTTATGTGATAAGCACGTGGCGGTTGACCAATGGAATGACGGCTTTTTGCAACCAGTTTAAAGTGGTTCTCAATAACACCGGGTGAGGAGAATTACACTAATGTCAACAAGAAATTGTGTCACTAGAATTTTAAGAAGTAATTTTGAATTTCCAAGGTTGGTTACTCTGTAGTAACGAATATCCCTAAATCAGTAATTTCTTGTTGATAATTATGTATTGACACTTGACTTAAGCTAAGACGTGACTTTTCTCAGCTGTGTCCCAGAAATTTGCGCCTATACGAGACAGTTCCATGAAGATGACACACAAAATGTGCTGTTTTTTAATTTTTACACCAATATGCAAGTTGCCATTTGGAGTGCGGATGTTGGGACTTGGTTGTGGGCTTGTCAATTGGTTTTGTGTGTTTTGAGGGTTTTATGTGTGGCCGATTTTGAGCTACAACTCGTCACGATTGTGACTAAAGACGAGGTATGGATTTTGCTTTTTTTATAACTTATTAATTGTATGATTTAGGAACGTATTGAAAGTGTTGTGGAACTTACCGAGGATGAAGTTTCAGAAGTTTGAGTATTTTTTATTTTATTTTTACAGACGTACAAATATTTTATATCTACCATAGCCACTCTTTAAGTACTTACTTTTTACATTTTATGCCAAGACCAAGTCTTCTGTTGAAGTCGACAATACGTTTAACGAAAAGTACAAAATTAATCGAAAATATACCTCATTTTTCTACTTTGCGTCTTTAATGACTATTAAAACACCAAAACCAGTGTTTTAATGAAGGCTATTAAGACACTGTTTTTGGAAACTTTTTTTGGCCAATTAGCAGTATCAGGCAATTTCTAGTGGATTTTGGATATCCACCAAAATCAAACAAATACACAAACAATTGAAAATTATTACCTGTATTATTATTACTTATTATTATTGTTACGTTTACAATAACAATTGGAATAGAAGTACCAACCTGAACATTATGTGGAATTCAATTCAAACAGAAATTTTTATGAAACAGAGCAAAGTAGAAAAAATATTATATTACACTTGTTTTATAAGACGTTTTGTCGAATTGCCTACTTTAAAACCGCGTGTGCTACTTACTATATATTGTCTTATAAAACTTGTATAATATCTGATGTGGGCAACGGAATTTTGATTCAGGGAGGGCCTTGGAAGTTTTCACGTATGTCTTCTATTAATTTTCCGTTGCTCACTCGTTACTACATATTATGCAACTAGTGCGAAAAATTTTTTTATTACTAAACTTAAAACAGACTTGCATTTAATTTCTTCTTAAGATATGCAAAGCACCAAGTATCGTATATTTTTACTTTTATATTTATTTTATCGATTTTATATATAATTTATGCCTCGCTTATGATTTTAGTCTAAGACACGAATACTAATTCCTATTTTTTATGCAATGTTATTTATATCACGTGATCAAAACAATTGTGTCACTTGACATCGGCCTACTATATTATGCAAATTCTTGAGTTCACAGCCCACTCGAATTGCAATTTTCACACTGCCTTGCTCAGTTAAATGTGATAAGGCACAAGAATTGAGCTCATTGTTGCGGACCATGTTTTCCAAAAGCTCACTAGTGTAGACTTTGCCTTGCTATGTGATAAATAAACACTTGATCGATTTCATATATATTTTTTTTCTTCCTGTCATCATGCGCAGGTTGGAACTAATGACATTATATTTATTAGAAAAAAACTCCAAACTAGTAACACATGCAACAATAAACAAAGCAAACATTTTTACTTGTAACTCTTAAGCCTACAGTCAATTCAAAATGGCGTCGGGATGCTGCGTCCTGAAATGCTTATTCCTGTCCCCTTTCTGTCTAAACAACCTTCCACATACGAAACACGGATACGGTCTTTCATTCGTATGAATTCTTTTATGGTTATTCAAAGCGTCAGCTCTAAAGAACCGCTTTTCGCACATCTGAAAATCAATGTATATTATTCCACTGTTTCAATTTTTTCACTCCTCTACATCGCATCCATATCGTCGATCCTCTGTATGTATAAGTCGATGCTGGTAGTAAACCGAACCGGTTAAGAAGCACTTCCCACAAACACTGCATTTGAAGGGTCTCTCTCTTGTATGCACCTTGCGGATATGGTCCTTCAAATCCGGTCGGATCGTGTACCTCGCTTCGCACCCTTCGTGTGGACACGCAAACGGCTTAATCCCTTGGTGGAAACGCATATGTTGCCACAAGTGCGACGTCTGCGAGTAGCTGCGACCGCAAGTGTCGCAAACATACGGTTTCAGGCTCTTGTGGGCCCGGCTGTGGATCAAGAGGGCTCGAGCACTGTGCAAAACCTTAAAAAAGTGTTAGTTCCGTGCAGTGATGTTAAATTTTTCGCAATATGTAACTGTTATTAATTACAATTACATTCTTTGATTAATTTCACATAATTAATTACATCTACTTTTTGCATATAGGATCAGGTAGGAAGTTGGAAAGAGTTTTAAAACAATAATAAAACAATAATAGGTACCTGTTGTTTTGACAATCAAACATTGATTTTATCATTTCTATCATAATAGTATATACATATAGTATTTATTTCGTGCACAATGAGCCACTACATTACACTTACTTCGTACGCTTATTATCGTACGAGTAATATATGGCCTACATTATACACACATTGAATAATATACTATTATATTTACAACTCTTAACTAATAATCTAACTTATACTTATATTACTTACTAATATAGGTAGAACACAAACCGCCAGTATAAATATTTTAAAATTTTTGTTTCGTCTAGATATCAATATTTGACCACCGAAACTAAACGTTTCCTCAGGTACAACCTAATACTGCGTGACTAATGCTTATGACAAAAAATCTATTGGCGACACTGAATTATTGCTAATCCTTCTAATTTGTTCTACTAGAATATTTCAGATGACGACTAAAGCAAATAAATGACAGTTGTCTGTAAAAGTTCTAAGTTTGGATTTGAAAGTCAATAAGCTTGCCAAACCTAACTTTGACACCAACTTGAGGTAATAAATCACAATTATTTACAGTCACCCTGTAGATTTTTTTTTTTGAAAATCTTGAATAATGTAAGAAAGTTTTTTTACAGATGGTAATAATTATTGGATAAATTCAAATAAGCTAAAATTCATTCTATATGTTAAACATTTTCGCTGAGATTACTATATGAAGCTTTAGAATAATTATTCTAAATTCCATATAATCAAAATTTGGACGATTAAAGGCTTCTGAGAGGGTAAATGTTGTATATGTTGTGTATACAGAGTGTATCAGAAATACGTGTGTTAATTTTAACATGTAATACATCTCGATAAATAATACATTTTTTCTATTTGTAATTTTTCAATAAAAGCATTCTAATTTCATTTAAAATTTGGAGAAGATAACATATCAAAACGTATACGCGCCTATAGGTATCAAATTAAAAATTCCGAAATATTTTCGTTGTGATAAAAACGTATTAAAAGAACTGCATTGTTGTGATTATTTATTAACATTAAACGGCTTTACATAAAAGTATGGAGGAATAGTATATTACATAACGAGCACGAAAAGTGATAAGTAACGCACAAGCGGGAAAGTTGCGCACGAGGCGTTAGCCTTTTTTTTTCATAACGATTTATTTTTTATAATGGATACAAAAAAAATACGTTGAATGAAAAAATACAAAACAATCGAGTGTGAATTGTGCGTTAGATTTCTAACACACAGTGCGAAAACAAATCGCACAGGTTTATCTAGTTCCGTATATGGTCGTAGGAAAAACAATAAACACAATTAATTAGAATTTTGCAAAATGTCATATAAGAAAGTTGTTTTATTTGGTGAGTTCTTTCACGTGTTAAAATTAACACACGTATTTCTGATACAGCCTGTATATGATTAGAGTGTTTTAAAGACAGCCCTTTTCCAATTTACTTTTGAAAGCATTTTTTTTTCTCGAAATAGGAATTCACCTGACCTGCCTACAAGTTTGCAATCGGATTTAAATTTTCCACATATTGGAAATATTAAAAGTACTTTTAATTTGAGAATGTAGTTGTAACAAAATGAATAATTGAATTAGAAATGAATTACAATTGAAGAGCAAGTAATTACTTACTTACTTTTTCAAGTAATTGTAATTAATTACTTTTTCGTTGACCGTTTGTTAATGTCAATATTAATGAATGGTTTTGTCTAAAAAAGGATGTATTTGTGGACGCCATTAATATACTTTTTTATATGGGCAACCAGACATATATGCACAAAAACAAAAAAACGGTGACAATGACTTTAACATTACACAGTGTGCATGTATACAGTGTGATTTCTCGAAAAACAAACTTCATTTACGTCTTGATCTAATTTTAATTACGATTTGCATTTGCAATTCAAGTTATCTTATGCTACTTTGACAATGCTTTGACAAGCAATTTGTGATTTATAAAAAAAAACTGTTTGCCTATCTTTAATGTTTCATTCGTTCATACATTTTGAAAAGACTTCTCTAATTTCTCTATCATTCCGCGAGAACTGAATGGCACTAATGATTGTTCTCTGCGCTGATGTTAGACTGACATAATATGATAACTTGGATTAACTTGCAAATCCCAATTTAAATTGGATCAAAGGCGTAGATGAAGTTTGTTTTTTGGGTTGCATCGCTGGATCGTCAGGCTCATTATCTTATCTGAATGTACAATACACATATACTATACATATACAATGTACATGATTTTTTGATTTGGTTTCGATTTCAGAATAAGAGTTTGCGATCAACGAAAAAATGTTGATTAATGGGCGATTAACAATCTCAACTATTAAGGCACTCACTCGCTTCGCTCGTTCGTGCTTTAAACAGTCCCGATTACTAATCGCCTTCATTAACACACTAGCTTATTAAATAACTATAACAAGACTAATTTTGTGTTAGAAAAGCAAGTTTGCAAACCTGTCCACACTCGTCGCAGTTGAAGTTAGCCGCATGCTCCTTCTCGCGATGAGTTTCCAACTCGGTTATGGTATTCCACACTTCAGTGCAACGTTCACACTGGTATTTAAAACCCTCATCCAAGGCCACACAAGGCTTCTTCGCCTTTGGAGTCTGTTTCGGAAACTTGCGTTTGCGCCCCCTCTTTTTTTTCTCAGGTGCTACATTCTCCTCCAAGGGTTCGTTCTGACTCAAGGGCTCCGATTTCACAGTGATGGTCTCGTCAGTCGCGAGATTTTCCTTATTCTCACTGTCGATTTTCTTGCGCTTATTGATGGGAATTTCGAGTGCTATAAGCACATCCTCGATCAGTTTATCTATAACATCCTCGTTTTTTATATCCTTGACTTGGGTCGATTTTTCCGGTGTATTATCATGGATTTTGGGGGTGTAATGCTTCTTTTTGATCTTGTGCGTATAGAGAATTTCATGCGATTTGAATGTGCGGTCGCAAAACTCGCAATAGGTGAGTTTGGGTAAATAGAAGAGGTTTGCTTTCTCTGAGCATTTTTTGAGCCAGTGTTGCGATGCGGTTATGTACGAATCAAAAACGTCTTTACACACCACACATTCGTAGTTTTTGTCGGTTTTGTGGGTTTTTTGGTGCTTGAGGAGGATTTGTTTATCGGCATAAGTGCGGTTGCAGAATTCACACTGGAGTAGAATCTCGGTTGAGATTTTTTCGATGGTTTTAGTCTCGGTTTTGTTCTCGTTCAGCGGCTCCTTCTTGATGTCGCAGCTGTCGATCAGTTCGGCGCAGTCCTCGACGTGGTACCCCGCCGTGGTGCTCGAGGAGAACACCTCGTGGCACTTTTTGCACTTCCAGACGGTCACATCGCTCCGGTAGAACTTGGAGATGTCCCCGGCCTTCTTGCAGTGGTTCTCCTTGTGGATTCTGAGGCGGTTTTCGCTCACGAATTGCTTCTTGCAGTGCTCGCAGGTGTTGTCTTTGGAGCTCTCGTGGCTGGTCTGGTGGCGCTCCAAGTTGTTCTTGCTCACGAACTGTTTGCCACACGTGGGGCAGTCGTACTTGATGCGTTTCCCCTTTTCTATGTCGATGAAGTCGGCGTTGGGCTTCAGGACCACTTTTTCGGCGTTGAACTCGCATTGGTGTCTCTGGTACTGGTATTTCGTGGGGTAGTTGGTCTCGCAGTTCTGGCACCTGATCATGCTGGGGATGTTGAGCTTTTGTCTGCGTTTTAGCACGATTTGGGGGTCCTCCGCTTTGTACAAGCGCACCGTTCCGGGGTCTTCGTTAAAAATTCGACACTCACTAAAATTCACCTCATCGCTGAGTGTTAAACTTACGGTTTTGAGGGGGTAAAAGGGGCCCTTGCTTAGCACTTGGTGGGTGGCGAAATCGGTTTCATACCTCATTGAGGAGATTTTCCCAGAGTCGCTTATGAAATGCGTATTTATTACGGAAATTATCCGCTCGTCTGCGCTATTCATTATTTCAACTACTTGATTGAGACTTTTTGCTTCGGTTATCAAAACAGCCCTGCTAAAAGGGGTTTTTGCGAAAATGACGCTCTTGTTGATTTTTTTGAAACAATTGAAAGTGCGAATTTTCCAATCATGGACTGATGAGTCAAAACCGCGTCTTTTTCATACAAAAATTGTCCAAAATGACACAAAAACACAAATGTGTTATGCGTAAAAAATTCAGATTTTTTTATGACGTGTTATTTACACCATAAATGGCCCTTGGGGACCAAAATCGCGATACCGGAAACGGAAGTGTATGTGTATGAAAAACTAAATTTTGATACAAAACGTTTTATTTTGCAAAAAATACAAAAACACCTCAAATAATTATAAAGAAACAAGATTGATATTCATTCACAAGACAATTTAATTATTTTTGGCCCAAAAATACAAGCAGTAGCACCAATTACAGATTACAGGTTGGCAGCCGTGATTCCAACTCGTCTCACTAGTGTCACAGTGAATTTTTTTTTTTAAACCTAAATGTTTGCTTTTAGAACTGTTCTCGCTGAGTCCGTTCACCAAAAATTGCGTTTTTTCCAATATTATTTCACCTGACCCCAGTTTTTCACAACGTGGGATAATTATTGAGAAAATTGCCTCATAACCTCAATATCTGTTGAAAAACTCATTTTTGATTCAAAACGTTTTATTTCGCAAAATGTAATAATGTACAGACAGTCACAAAACCGTTTAATTATTTTGGACCCAAAAAAGTACAAACAGTGGTACCAATCACAGGTTGGCGACCGTGTCACTAGTGCCACCATAGGAAAATATTTGTTGAAACTCAAATATTTGCTCTTACAGCCGTTCCCGTTGAGTTAATTTACCAAAAATTGCTTTTTTTATAGTATAGCACTAAACGGCGCTGCTTGGAAGAGTTTTTACAAGAATAACGTTTTTGTTGATTTTTTTTAAGTCACCGCTCTTGTTCGACTTGAAACCGACCAAAATGGAACGAAAACACAAATCTGTTTAAAGGATTTAATTTTTTACAATGTGTTACACCAAAAAGACCCTTTTGGCCCAAAATCGCAAAACCGGAAACGGAAGTGCATGTGCATGAGGAACTCATTTTTGACAAAAGATTTTATTTTGCAAAATATGCAAAACCTTCAAATAATCAGAAACAAAACAAAGATTAATATTCATCCACAATTATTTTTGGCCAAAAAACCAAACAGTGGCACCAATCATAAGTTGGCAACCGTGATTCCAAGTCATCCCACTAGTGTCACAACCGAACAAAAATATTAGTTTAAACCCAAATGTTTGCTTTTAGACCCGTTCCCGCTGTGCCAATTCACCGAAAATTGCGTTTTTTACAATATTTCACCTGACTCAAGTCTTACGCAACGTTGGATCATTCTTGGAGAAAAGTGCGACATAACCTCAAACTTAACTATGTGAAAGTTTTTCTTCCGTTAAATACAAACAAGTGAAGTGATGAAGAAACTGAGTGGTTCGTTTCGTTACACCCAATGGGACCCTTGGTTGCTAATCGCGCAGATAATCTCAGTGCAGTGCATCATCTACGTGTCTTTGGGGCTCATTTTGACAGTTCTGGGGGTCCTGGTGGGGGACACGCGCTCCCTGGACCACATTTTCGAATATCACGTACGTGAACTCGATGTTGTTTCAAGTTTTAGTCAATTTACAATTTCAGGAGATCCAAGTGCGCGATTTTGGGGGGCGCATGGTGATCACGGCTTTCGTAATCAACGCGTTGGTTGGGTAAGCCCCCTTGGGTGTTTTTCTCCCATGAGTTGTCTTTTTGCAGGGCTGTGACCCTCTGGTACGTCGTGGAGCGCACGAAACAGTGCATGGACTTCAGTTGCACGTGGCATTTTTTCCACTTGTTGATTTGCTGGGGGTACAATGGGAGCTTCCCCACGACTTTCTCCTGGTGGGCGTTGAACGTCGCCTGCGCCACTCTGATGTGCGTCAGTGCGGAATTTCTGTGCCTAAGAACTGAACTCAAAGCAATTCCTTTGTCTCTCGGTCCTAAAACTGATCTGTAACTGTGATATTTTCTAGGGAGATTTGTAATTAGGGTGCCAAGTGTAATAAAAAATTATTTATTCAGGTCTACATTCAGCCACCTATAATTGTAAAAATCAACACAAATAAATTTCGTAACAATCTAGGTGTTTCGTAACAGGTGTTTTGTTTTTGCTGACTAGTTGTTTCGCAACTCTAATACATTTAATTTACCACTGAAGCACACAGTAAATCTTCCATTAGCACAATTGACGAGAATTTCGGTATCGGACAGTTAAGGTGGGGTTTTGGTCTAAAGTGTGTCGCTAGATGGCGCTATCCGATACCACGTGACGGATTTAATGGCGGTTAAATATTCAAAAAAGTGCATTTATATACACTAGCTTAACACTGACAGTGCTGACACTTAATATAGGAAGAAATATACATAAAGGCATCAAGATCAAGTTGCCCACCACAACAGCACATCTATTCAAAATTTGTACTAGTTTAGAGGAAAGTTGCGACCGTTTTAGGCACAAATAAACAAACGTTTAGCCAATCACAATTTAGTTATTGCTCCTTTTGGTACAATTTTGATTTAACTCGAAAAAAAAAAAATTGTTCACAACCAACTCGTTGTGGAATGCTTTGAAGTGGTGTTCTTTGAAGGCATTACCCGAGTCTACTCTAAACAAACCCTAGAAAAAAACTAATTCTGCGGTGAATATTCGTCGACTTCTTCGATGATCGAGTCCTGTTCGATTCTCTGTCTCTGAAGGATCAATTCCTGGCGTTTCTGCAAATTACAATTAGTCAAAAATCAGTGTTGTTGACTAAATCACCTCCTCGTTTGTTATGACGACGATTCGATGGTCGATTTTCGGAGTTAATTGACACGATTCCTGTTCAAGGTCGTCCAATGACGCCCGACGGGTGAGGCGGGCGCTGTGGTGGCCAGGGGGGCTGGTGGTCACCTCCACAGTGCTGGCTCGGCGAAGGGGGGGAGGGCCGTCTAGTTCACTCCCGTCGAGCATTTTCACCAAGCTATGTCTGAAATGTCAAAAATAAGGTCACGTGGGCTTGGAAACGCCCACTTGGTGGCCACCACCAATCGGATTCAAGTGTGACATGCCGTGGGATGATTTTAACGCTTTTGATTGGTCAGATTGGCTAATCACACCTTTGAATTATCTCTTAAAGGAAATGAATTAAATTGTCACTGCAGTTTCATGTAATATAAATTATTTAATGTAAGATATAAAAATAGACAACTGAGTTTTTGTGCGTTTTAGTACGTTTTTCAATCAAAAATCACCAAATTACGTCAAAAATTATGTCATTTTTACCTTTTTCGAGCATTCAAACTCGTTTTTGAGCCCAAAAGTCGTTTTTTTTCAAGAGATTTCGTCAAAATCACTAAATTTGATTGAAAATAGTGTTACGTGAATCTTTTTAGAGTTTTTTTTAATAATTAAGTAATTTTTATCGAAATTTTGACAAAATAGGGCAAAAAACAAAAATAGAATTTGCCTTATTTCGTTCGATTCAGTTGGTTTTTGAGGATGAAACATATTTATTTTGCAAAATTTTCTCGAAACAAACCTAAAAGTCACCAAAGTACATAGATAGAAAACAATGTTATTTTTAATTATTTTGTATTTGGCTCGTTTCTTAGCAAGATTTTGCTAAAATAAGCCGAAAGACACCTAAATGTATCGAAAATGAAGTATTTTTTTAACATTTAAAAAAAATCGAGGACGTTTTCTGAAAGAAACGCATTTATTATTTTATTTTGGCTTATTTCGTTAATTTTTGAGACTGAAATTCATTTATTTTGCAAAATTTCGCCCAAATTAACCTAAAACTTATTAAATCAGATAGAAAATTACGTTATTTTTTATTGTTTTTCTTCATTTATCGTTTCTTATAAGATTTTGCCAATATAAACAGAAGAAACGCTCAAAAAAGCAAAAAAATCGCTAATTGGGGATAAAAAAACAGGTGTTATTCCTACTTTTTTTTCATTTTTAGATTGCAACTTTGTTTTTTCTTATAAAATTTGCCCAATACAAATAGAAAAATCATTACATTGAATTGAAATTTATGTTATTATGCCCTGTCTCGCCCGATTCAGTTCTTTTTTGGAAATGAAACTCATTTATTTTGCAAAATTTTCTCAAAACAAATCGAAAAACCACTAAATTGGATCGAAAATAATGTTTGTTGGAACTATTTAGGGCAATTTAGCTGGTTTTTAAGTAAGATTTTGTCAAACAACCCGAAAAATCACCAAAATAATGTTATTTTTGTCTTTTTTGAACGTTTAAATGCGTTTATTTAGCGAGAAATTTCACTCAAACTAGTCGAAAAATCACCAAATCAGGTCAAAAATTACTTTTACTTTTTTTGAGCGTTTAAATACCTTTTTGAGGTCTAAACGCTTTTTTTTTGTAAGATTTCCCCAAAACAAACCTAAAATTCATAAAATGATGTTATTCTTGATTTATTTAGTTTGTTTTTGACCAAAATTTTGCAGAATGAAAAATCACTTAAAAGCATCAAAAATTAAGTCATTTTTTAGTTTTCCAAAGAATCATTTCTGCTCAAAAAACAAACAAAAAACGCGAAATAAGTTCAAAAACGATGTTTTTTTTCTTTTTTTTTTGAGCGTTTAAGCACAAAACTTAGTTTTCTCATAAAGTTTAGCCAATGTAAGCCAAAAATCATCAAATTAGATTGACATTTATGTAATTTTTGCTTAAAAAAGCAAAAAAATCGCTAATTAGGCGTTATTCGCACTTTTTTCACTTTTAAGTAACAACTTAAACTTTTCTTATAAGATTTGGCCAACAGAGATCGAAAAATCATCAAATTAAATTGAAATTTATGTTATTATGCCTTATCTCGCCCGATTCGTTTTTAAAACTGAAACTCATTTATTTTGCAAAATTTTCTAAAAACAAATCAAAAAACCACTAAATTAGACCGAAAATAATGTTTCTTGAAACTATTTTGGTTAATTTGGCTGGTTTTTAAGTAAGATTTTGTCAAATAAAGCCGAAAAAAACAACAACATAATAGTATTTTTGTATTTTTTGAACGTTTAAATGCGTTTATTTAGCGAGAAACGCAGCTTTTTCCGAAATTTAACTCAAACTAGTCGAAAAATCACCAAATCAGATCAAAAATTATACTAGTTTTACTCTTTTTGAGCGTTTTAAAAACGTCGTTTGCGAGCTCTATTGCTTAAAAAAAACACCTAAAATTCTCAAAATTAGATACAAAATGATGTTATTTTTTATCATTTTGCTTTATTTAGCTTGTTTTTGAGCAAAATTTTGCAGAATAAATCGAAAATCACTTAAAAGCATCAAAAATTAAGTAATTTTTTAGTTTTCCAAAGAATTAGGAACGTTTTTCGGTCAAAAACGCACTTTTTTTCGTAAATTTTTACTCAAAAAAAAACGCGATATAAGGTCAAAAACGGTGTTTTTTAGAGCGTTTAAGCACTTTTTTTTTAAATAAAAACTTAGACCGAAAATAATGTTTCTTGAAATTATTTTGGTCAATTTGGCTGGTTTTTAAGTAAGATTTTGTCAAATAAAGCCGAAAAAAACAACAACATAATAGTATTTTTGTATTTTTTGAACGTTTAAATGCGCTTATTTAGCGAGAAACGCAGCTTTTTCTGAAATTTCACTCAAACTAGTTGAAAAATCACCAAATTAGGTCAAAAATTATACTACTTTTACTCTTTTTGAGCGTTTAAACACGTTTTCGAGGTCTATTGCTTAAAAAAAACACCAAAAATTCTCTAAATTAGATACAAAATGATGTTATTTTTTATCATTATGCTTTAGTTCGTTTTTGAGCAAGATTTTGCAGAATAAATCGAAAATCACTTAAAAGAAAAAAAAATCGAATATTAAGTAATTTTTTAGTTTTCCAAAGAATCAAGAACGATTTTCGGTCAAAAACGCACTTTTTTCGTAAATTTTTGCTCAAAAAAACAAAAAAAAAAAACGCGAAATAAGGTCAAAAAGGGTAGTTTTTTTAGAGCGTTTACGCACATTTTTCTTAAATAGAAACTTAGTTTTTTTGTAATGTTTAGCCAATGTAGACCAAAAAATCATCAAATTAGATTAAAATTTAGGTAATTTTGGCCTGTTTCGTTAGATTTAGTTCATTTAGTTCATTTTTAAGACTAAAATTCATTTATTTTGCAAATTACATCAAAAATAACTTTTGTTGAAACAGTTTTGCTTAATTTAGCTCATTGTTGAGTAAATTAAACAAGCGAAGTCACCAAACTTGGTTAAAAAAAGTGTTATCTTTTTCTCATAAAAACAAACTGAAAATATGAAAAAAGCAGATGATGATGCAATGAAAAATTAAATTAAAACACAAAAACTCTGGAGATTTTTATTATAATCCGTCCTCACTGCGGCTTTAAAACAATCAACCTATCAAAACAAAAACCAAAACAATAACAAAACAACACCCAAAACTACAAATCCTCACCTTCGTGAAAGCGTGACTAATGATTGTCGATGTTTGGAGTGTTTTTTAGTCTTCCCTAATCGCATATTAATCGCTTGGAAGTGGTTTTGGATCGCTAGACCCAACTCGGGACACTCCCCTTCATCCACCTTGACAAAAAAACATCATTTTTTGATTTATTTTCTTACAGAATATTTTTTTTTACCAAAACTTCGGCATCTTTAAGCATAACGTAACCATCACACCCTGAATGCATGTAACTCTTGGTTGCAAGCCGATAATTCTGCTCCAAATTCAAATACTCGTCGCCAATTCGCACGAATGCAGGGTCGACTCGTTGGCCGGGGGGCTTCGTGGGGTCGAAGGCGAAACTCACCCCCGCCACTTGGGGAAACCGCCCCTCCAGTTTGGGGTACATGCAAACCCCGTTCTCCAGCGCGTCCAGAATTTGTTTTCCTGGAAATTTCAACAAACTTTTTTACAACTAAATAATAATAATAATAAATAATAGAAATTTAGTTGCAGTTTTTTAAAAACTATTAAAACAGTTCTAAATTCAATTGAAACATTTTTTTTTAAGATTTTTAATACTCATATAATTGCAATAATAATAATAATTGATGAGTTTTTGAGTTTTTCCAC